CCTCCAAATGGATGTAGACGCTGCCAAGCAGTGGTCGTTGGACTGGCACCTTCCTCTGAATGATGAAAAGTGCGTCCATGTGTCGTTTGGAGGGGATTCAGCGAATGCCTTTGTTATGCATGGTGAAAAGGGACCAGAAAACATCATGAGGATAGATGCCAAAAAAGATTTAGGCATCTGGGTCTCCTCAAACTTGTCCTTCGCACTACACCATGAGAAATCAGCCCAAAAGGCATTCGCCGTTTTACGGATGATCCGACGCACCTTCTCCCGTATTACTCGCATGGACTTCCAAATACTCTATGGGGCCTACGTCAGACCGCTCCTGTAATACGCCAACCAAGTTGTCTACTCAGGACGCACGAAAGACGTCACTCTCATTGAGCGAGCCGCCACGAGCCGCCTCAAATCCGTGGATTACGAAACGAGTCTCGCGATGCTCGATCTCTTTCTCCGTCGCCTCCGAGGGGACCTAATTCTTACATGTGCCTTGTTCGAACAAAGCTTGGCAAACAGGTTTTTTACCGTAGACCCAAAAAACCCACGGTGGATACATAGTAAGAAAATTTTCAAGCTCAGAGCACACACATTCATTAGATAAAAATTTTTCTCATTTAAGGTAGCAGGTGCTTGGTCCGACGGTTGTCCAAGCTCTTTCTGGAACCCAATTTAAAGCACTAATAGACCCTTATTTAATGCGAATCCTCGTGCTTGCAAACATACTACCCCGCGCTGAGAATATAAAGAGCATTGCTACACCCTTTTTTCACTTGTCTTTCAGGTGAATGACAGCCACTGACCGACAAGAACAAAAGCAACCCGGAAAACTTGAGCAAATCCTTGATCCTGTGTATCAATCCGTGAATCCGTGAATCCATGAATATGTAGCCAGCCCTAGGGAATTAGGGAGCTGCCCTACATTCTTTTGCTTCAGCGCCCTCCAGGCGATCGGGAGCTGCTGGGCATCCATAACAGACCAGAGCCAGTATGTTTGGGGAAAAACATCCTACTTATGTATCGACGACGGCTTGATGCACGCCCAAAATTTCTCGGAAACCGTGGTTCGTAGGAGGACAATTTTAGCATAAAGTTTTAACATTTGATGGTAATTTTCCGGGCGTATGAGATCATCCCAAACGGCCGCAGTTTTGTTGAAATTGTTTAAATCTACTCAATCCCCACGATATTCAAGGCCCGCCATATTCATACTTTAATGGCTGGGATAGCTGAGCACACGTAAATGCGGAGGATGATTTTGTGGAGAATTTAGCTCGTCAAGGTTTTTTCTCATTCAATGCATTCCAAGTCGCTTTGAAAGAGTACCAGGCGAAACATTCCGTTGTCTTCGTCCGCATAAACTCCAAAATGAGCAGCAATTCGCCACGTTTGTATGAAAAAGCCTTCCAACGTTGCAGCAGGCATCCCTGCAGACGAAGCCGAAGCCGTGGAATTCGTCGCACTTAGTAAGTTCATGGTTGATTGTGTGTACGCGGTAGCACACGTCGTACTGATTGTCCGGTAAGGTTCCATGTTCGCCGGTAGCATGACTGCTTGAGGTTTACATCCTACTACCTGGAGCATAACCATCCACGCAGCAAATTTATTTTTGACGGGCTCGCCATCAACCGGCGACTGAAAAGTGATGAATTAAAGGAGTGTTGTACCCTTTTGAAACATGGTGCTCCGTCATCGGAGATTCGACAGTACGTCGCCGATCACTTTGGAAAGGTGCTCACTATCAAGAATGTGCGTAACTATCGCGTCAAATGTCGACCCCCATTGTCAATTAGGTCGTTGGTTACCTTTTAGTCGGTTTCTTAGATGACATGTCATCCATCATAGCCAACTTTGGAGAGTGCGGTCGCGTGCTGCTGGTGGAATCGGAGGATGGCAGATATAGCACTCTTTGGACGCTTCCCGGACTTTGTAAACGTTGATGCTACACACGGTACTAACCGTCTTGGGTAAATAAATTTAGAGCCCTCGACGTTCGGTGTTAAGGTGCAAGCTTTATACATTCCTTTTGACGGATGGCATGAGTATCGGTCGACCCGTAATGTATGCTTTTGTCGAAAGCGAGCATTTTGCGCCATTGCGCAAGCTGTTCGGCTTGTTCAGGGATATGGTGGGTGACAATATGCAGTCAAAACGTTTGTCATGGACAAGATGACTTTGCAGATGCGAGCGGCCAAAGCTGTATTCGGCTGCGATATAATGCTGTGCTATTTTCACGCACGGCAAGCCATCCGGAAGCACGTACGTTTCATTGCTTTGGTATAACTTTTGCAGACAATTTCCAATCGCAGTCGGCACATATTCCACCGCATTGCTCGCTTTGATAATGCAGTTGAGTAATTAACTGCCCCAAATATTAATCGCGTAGGTTTCGCCAGGATTTTCAAATCCTGAGGAGAACTGATCCCAGCTTTGTCTCTTATTTGACTGCCCACTCGCTCCCCATCACTCGAAAGCGGGCCATTCATGCACAACGTGGTTTGGTGCATTTTGGGAATGTGATCAATAACGGCCTGGAGAACACCACCGGGCGTTTGAAGAGGCGCGTGCACCAATTAGACAGCCTGGAGCATGCCGTGATGACGAGGAATTCGTGTGATTGTAACTCGAAGGCCTCAAATGCCGAATCAATGAAACCATGGCAATCCGCAGGGACCATACATTTATCCCTCATCCCGGTAATGGGAGTTATGAACCACTAGGTAAGCAAACAAAAAATTCCATTACATCCAAACGCTTAAATGGTGTTCCCAAAGATTAATTGCTTGCCCATCTTTCGTTTCAGAATCCTTGTCCCGTGAAGTGGATCTTAAGAAAATGAAAAATGGAGCGACTACCAATTAAGCTTGTATCAGTGATGCAAATGAATAAAGTGCAATTTGCCAACGGTGTTTCCGTGAATTCATGGCGGGCGCATTATCAACGAGTGGAGTTATGAGTGTGGGGCGCCGTCTTTGGCCATTGTATTACGTTTACGTGCATAGGTGAGGCCTCATAATCTGCGCCGCGAATAGCAGTTACGCTAAGTGGTCGAGGTGAGCGACAGCTCATTGGTTCCGGTAATTGAGGGAGTGGTTGAGGGTGTACAATCATGAGGTTCCGGTATTGAGGGAGTGTTCGAGGGTGTGCAATCATGAGTAGGAGGTGGGAGTGCGCTATCAAATTGGGTGGTGATTGCAGTTTGAAAAGCGATGACAACCGTTGATCGTTGGGTTAGCCTATTATGCGTTGCCGGGGTATTATGGTTAGCTACGAGGATTGTACGGGCCTGGCAGTTACTATAGGTAGTCAACATAGGTTACGTCGACTACAGTTGTGATGTTTACTGGAGGTGGCAAACATAAACGGCATCAAGTAAGTATGAGTATGACGATAAATAACTAAGTTAGATGACTTCGAGTACAGTTGTGAGTATAGCAGGCTGTCAGATTAGGCTATCACCCATGGTTTGGTCCTTGTTTTTACCGGTCATCATATATATTGGATTGATGCTTACTGTAGGTAGCGAAGATAAGCGGCATCGCGTATAGTTAAGGGTATGAAAGACCGTCAGCTTTATACTCAGCGTTGCACATAGACACAGGTCTCGCAATTACGATAAGCAGCCAAGTTAGGCGATATCAACTGCAGTTACGAGTATGACGGGCAGCCGTTGGTTTTCACGGATTCACGGATTGATATACAGGATCGAGGCTTTTGCCCAAGTTTCCCGGGTCGGTTTTGTTCTTGTCGGTCAGTGGCTGTCGTTCACCTGAAAGGCAAAAGTGAAAAAAGGGTGTAGC